GGTTGTTACTGAAAGTAACGGGGTGGGTGCAGGGACATGCTAGACTTTCTGCACACATGGGACAGGCCATGTGACATTCTTTAGGGTTTAAAATACAACAGCACATGTTTTCTCACCACGACCATGCACGGCTGAGGCCTTTAAACACATCCCCAGAAGATAAAACCTATCATCAGCCTCATCTGCCAAACGTTATTTTTTATTCTATAGCAATCTTGAGGTTAAACAGCCTACTACAGAAATAGTTTATATACAGAATCAAACATCACAGTTCACAATTACACGCAAGTCACTCTCTTCAGATCTAATGAGAACCCTTCTGGTCTCTGGCACCCTGATTCAAAACGTGATTCAGATTCATCCTTTGTGATATTAAAAGAGAGAACCCTGGATAAATTCATAAATGCAGACCTACTGTGACCTTACTCATCAGCTCCGCTAGTTCTGGGGCCAAGGGAATCAGGACACTTCAGAACCCAAACATTTTCTAAGTGTAAATAGTTTTTCAACAGATGCGGAGGTCTCCAGATAAACAATCTTTTAAAACCAGCTGATTTTCAATCCACACACTGCTCTTTTTCAGACATTTCCTTAAAATGTCACACTGAATAAATTCCAGGCAACAGCGGTGAAGTCTCGAAATCCTACAGGACTATGAGCCACCCTCGGGGGCGACAGACTGTGAGTTAGTTTTGAGACTAAAGGGAAGTAAGAAAGAAAGGGGAAGGAGTTTGCATGTTGTTATCTGCCCTCTGTTTCCTCATCCGCTTTACAGTCAGAGAGAGGTATGGATGAGGCCACTGGGGCTGAAGGACCAGTTGGGCCCTAGATCCCACAGAAGCGGAAGCGCAATAACGAAATGCATCTCGCATTCTAAAGAAAGCAGTACGTTCTTTGCCTGGGGCCCGCGGACAGGCTCCAGGGAATTATAAAATCCTGACATTTAGCTTAAGAATTTTGTGTATATCATGTGCATTTTTAGAGAAAGAGAGTCTTTATGGACTCTCTTTACAAGGAACCTCTTTACAAGGTTCCAAAAAGATGCCCAGTGGCCCAACAAAGCTTCAGAAGTCTTGCATGAGAAAAACTAACCAGATGCAAGTGGCACTGTCCTGAGATGTTCTTCATTTAACACTCAGGGTTGTTTTTGAGACTCCGTGGTCATCAGCTGTTCTTTTTTTGTTTTTGTTTTTTTTAAAGATTTTATTTATTTATTTTTATATGGAGGGGAAGGGAGGGAAGGAGAGAGAGAAAGAGACACATCAACGTGTGGTTGCCTCTGGCATGCCGCTTACTGGGCACCCAGCCCGCAACCCAGGCATGTGCCCTGACTAGGAATCGAACCGGTGACTCTGGTTTGCAGTCCGGTGCTCAGCCCACTGAGCCACACCAGCGAGGGTGGTCATCAGCTTTTCTTACATCCCCATTAAGCAAGACATTAACTCCCTGTTTTTTTGCCTGGAGAAGATACTGATATTCAGGTACTTAAAAATGTATTGACTTTTTCTACTTCTTACAAGTAAACTCAACTGTAGAGTAGAAAGTATATATTAAAATCGGGTGTTACAACTTCCTGTAAATTTGAAATTATTTTCAAATAAAAATTTCAATAAAGAAAAAATATCAGGTATGATCTGGACTTGCTACTGTATTCAGAAACTCTCCCAGGGGCCAAGTTTTCATAATATCTTCTTTCTCCTCTAAATACAGAGTTTAAAAATCACTAATCCACTCTGCGGTAAGCTGTCACTTTCTTTAAGCTGCAACACTAGTCAAATGTCACTACCTTATAGGAAGCTCAGGAGCCTGTGAATTGTCCAGCACAACAATGATAGATCCCAACGGGATGACGGTTAGATAGACGAATAAAAAACAATGAGGTCAACATAAATGAGACCCTCATTGTTTCACAGGATTTTTACTCACCCAAAGAAAAAGCAAAAGTATATCAGAGGCCATAAAGCTCTTTTGAACGCTCCCCAGTCTCCCAACAAAATCTCCCCCTTGGTCATGTCCAGAGGCGGCTCAGGGACCTGGCTTCCAGCCGCCGGCACAGTGAAATGCTACCCAGGGTCCAACGAGCTGTCCCAGCTGCAGCTTCGTGGACCCCAGGCTCACACTGGACCCAACACGCAGTACAGAACGATGTGACTCACAGTGACAATGATGGGCTGGGGGTAGAGGAAGGCAAAGGACTCCTCCATCCGTAAAAGCATTACATTTTTAAAGAAATTCACTTTTAAAATTGAGCTCCTCTGACCAGGGACTGCTTCCTGCTTATTTCATATCCCATATTTCCTATTTGTTTTTCTATCCTGAGCAACTATGTCTGGTCTTCAGTAAGTGCTAAGTAATTGTTTAATACATTTTTTGTCACCTGCTTTTCTGTGCCACAATTAACTTCTCAGAAAGCCACAGATCCACCTGGGACGCAAAGGCTAACTGCAGCTCGGCACTGTAACAATCTGTGATTTAGAACGCCATGGTCCAAAATAAGTTTCCCTGTACATATCAGACCATTGAATGGGCCAGGTTTCTTTATACCAATGGTACTCTTATACCTATCTTCAAAAAATTATTATTTTGTTTTTTATATCCATCTTGAGAGAGACAGTAGAAATTTCCTTTGGTATCAAGAGGAGAATTGAAAAGTAAGTTCAAATCCGGTCCTATGGACATTCAATAAATGCAAAAGGTGAATCAAGGAAGGGCAGGTTTAAATCTTCAGTCAATTTTGTATCTCATTAATTAAGAAGAAAAAAGGAATTCCTGGACATTTCTGAGAGAGATTCAATCTCAAAACTCAAAACTCACTCAAGGCCTCTCAGAATGACCGCCAGTTTTGAGCATGACACTCTAAGTGTAATTATTTTTAAAAATGAACCCTCTAAAACCTAAAGAATGATTTGAGTTGCATCTATGGTTGTCCTCATTGCAGCTGGGACCAAAGGAATATTTAGCAATGGTTAAAAAGTTAGGGAAACGATTTTATAAGAATCCAATTCCCAATTTCGGTTATATAAATGGTGGTAAAGATGACATTGAGCCAAACGTCTATATTAAGAAGGAATATTTTAATTCTTAGAGGCCTACTGGTTAAGTTATATATAGGACAAGAGTCACAATATTCAGAAGGATGAGGTTTAGATAAGAGAGAAACAGGAAAGCTTGGTTCTGAGAAGACAGAAAAGTCCCCTAGAAATCTTAACTGGTGGCAAAACCGCAGCTCTTCCTTGAATGGAAATGTATTCAATAGTGGGAACACTTGATTACGTGGAACCCACAGATGCTTCTTTGTCCAGGAGACTTGACATCTAATAAACGACCAAGCTATACACTTTGCTTTTGTTGTGCTAAACACATCACACTCTACACCCAGATGCAAAAGGCAAAGAAGATCGAATTTCAGGTGGGAACAATGAATTTCAGTTTTGAGTAAAAAGAGGTAGGATTTCAATTTTGGAAATACTCCGGAAAGGAGTTAGGTCATCTTAAATGCCATATCGGATTTGTAGATGTTGTTTAAAAGATGGATTACAATTCAGGTTTTAATTTTTATAGACTAGCTCTGACTACTAAGGAGATCTTTTTGTTGCCAGAAAACTAGCAGAGGAAAAAAAATCCAAACAAACTGAGAAAGAAAAGATATTCACCAAAACAATGGAAACACATTTCTTTTTATGCTCCTCTTTATGAAAACAAAATGTAATGGGCATGTTGAACAGCTTTTGAACCAATATGTGAATCTTGGTAATTAGTCCTGGATGAAATTTTCCATCTGAAAAGTCATGCATAAGCCAAAATTAAACTAAAACTAAAAATAAAATATTATACTCCTAAATGAGTATTTATGCATAGTCAGGGAGCAATATACACTAAACTACCATTTAAATTCATTCTCCGTCTCAATTTTCACACTGGTGATATTTGCTGGTCTTTTAGTGGTGCATTAGAAGATTGTACAATTATTCTCAGAGTGGGTCTGCCGCTGAAATACTGATGAATGTAAGATCCCCATTACCTGTCACTGAGTGATAGACGGCAAAACTTAGGAATTTATGAGGAAATGCTCAGATACCACAAAAAGTAAGAGAGAAATAAAAGTAAAACGGAAACATTGTCAAAGGTAAAATTGGCCTGTGATGCCTTAGCTATTGTATTGATAATGTTCTGAATTTAGGATTTTACTCTTCTTCAGAATAAAGCTTTCAAATGCTAATACTCGATTTAATAGTTAAAATTCACCCCTCTGCATTGATGAATTTAAAGCATGTAATTTTATAAGCATGGAAGCCTGCAATTTTTGTTACCATAGTCCATACTTTGTTCAGTTGATTAGCATTTGGCACCTTGAGATCAAAAATATGGGTTTAATTTCCACATGGATCAACTTTGCCTCTTACCGTCGATGTAAAATCCATGCATTCCTAGAGAAGCAACTTAGAGGCTGTGCTTTGGAGCCACAAAGAAGTGGGAGGAGGCGGAGGAGGAAGAGGATGATGATAACAATAATTGTTAGCTATGCAAACCTGGTTAAGTTCCTCAAGCATTCTGAGCCTCAGTTTCCTTGCCTGTAAAATGCTGATAATATATGCCTCACAGCCCTTACCCTGAGCGGGGTATTGATTGCAATATGTATGCAATGTTTGTAAAGAGTCCAAAGCGGTGTCAGGCACTAGGTGAGAGTGTGCAGGGACCTTCCTGCTGGCAGTCTGGGGTCAGAGCAGCACAGAAGTGCAGACAAGGGTGCTTACGAGTCCTGGCTTTACGTACTTTAATTAATGATCAACGGTAGCCCAGGATCCTGGGAAGCTCCCTTATACATTAAACGTTCTCATAGCCGCTTTTTTTTTTTGGCGTAGTGAGGGGGACTTTTGTTTTAACTCTCCACCCAGCCCCTCACAAAAATAACTTTGTAACACAGAAACCAGAATATTGTTACCCTACCTCATGAGGCAATTAGCCTTGAAATAGGTGCGCAATTTATTTTTACTTCTTACCTTTTCGATTTTTTCATCCAGCATTCTGAAGAATTCCTGTTGGCTCTCAGAGATGTGCATGCTGAAAAACAAAGAGGGGTTAAGTGCGTGTTTCAATTTTTTCTTAAACCTACTTCCCTCAAGAAAAATGCTGAGTCCCTAAACTTGGGGGCAGACGTTTATTTATAGCAGACTTTTCCATGGAAATATTCTGAAGTTATAGTAAGAATAAATGTTATTACAGCAATCCTACAAATGCATTTCATAGTAGTCTATCAGTGCCTATGGTTTAAGAAATACAATTTCCTTTCAATGTACATGTTATTTAGAAGGATGTTACTGGGAGGTGTGTGCCACATTTTTTCTTCAGATACCCATTCGTGATTTAAAAAAGCATAGGCAAGCAAGCAAATGACGTATTTCCACCGTGTGTGCAACTGTGGAAAAAAAAATCCTAGTTATTATATGGAAATAGGTGTTTTACAAAGGCTGTGAGCATCAGCATGATATCCAGCTGACTGCATAGCTGTGGGCTGGCAGCAAACGTGCTGAGAACTTGACACTGGCCCCGAACACGTGCGTGGGCGACGGCGAATGTACCCCCGGGACGGAAATTCCAGGGAATAAAGAGGAAGTCTGGAGGCCGGCCTGGGTAGCATGAGCCCTGTGTCTTTGCTTGTTCTACTCCATTTAACAGCGTACTTAGCGAGGGGCACGTGGTCACATAGGTAAGGAGAGCAGAGAAGGTCGTTGATGGGAAGGGCATGGGGAGGAACGGACCTGGAAGCAGCGTGGTTTTAATGGCTATGGTGTCTACCTAGCAAAGCTGTGGGTCCCAAGGAGGTTCAGGATGCTGGGGTGAGGGACGCATCGCACAGTTTCTTTCACCTGCTGTTACTGTCTATTGGTTGCCGTGGCTGTGGGGGAGGCTGCGGAGAGTGGCTCTGGAAGAGCTTCTTCCCTCCAAGCTGAGGTGTGGCGAGCAGCCTGCCTGAGAGAGCCCTGGGCACTGGGCCCCCCACTTCAGGGCTCACAAGCAGCCACACAAGGGACCCCGCACCCTTCAGGCCTCCCATGACAGATCATGGGGCTCCAAGGAGGCTTTCCCCTGTGTGTACAAACAAGATTTAAAATCTGGGAGCACAACGACATCAGCTCTGATGTCAAAGGAAAACAAGAAGACTATCTGGGTCTCGATCAGCTTTCATGGGTATAAAGCACGTGTACAACGCACATGTACATATGCCATGTAACTTTTGCCTCCTTTATGTGATTACTGAAATAAGGTTAATGCCCTGTTTCAGAGACAGACTATCTTAACGCAGGTTAGGAAGGTGGGACAGAATCTGGGGTGATGAGAATTTAAACAGTCTCCTCTCTCTCTGGCTGCACAGCAAAGCCATTATGCATAGCTGAGTTTTCCCAGATTCCTCATGGTTTTGCCTTCAGTGGCAAACATGTTTTCTTTGAGCCACTTTGGATGCAAGGCTTCTAAACTGCACACACTACTTAACTTCCACTTAATGACCAGCGGCCACTTCCAGGGTCTTAAAATGGCCCTAAACTCCAGGCTTGTGTTCTTCACCTGCGTTTGAGCTTTTCTCTCATTTCTTCCTGTCAGAGGAGGGATCAGCCTGCTCCTGGTTTTCTTCCGGGTTGCTGCCTCTGCTCCGTGCTGGGAGCCAGCTCGGCCGCATTGTTAGAGTTGTGTCTACAGCTGTGTCAATAGGCTCTGCGGGGGCACCGGGCGATTTCTTGTGGGCCAGGAACATGAATGTTCAGCCACCGGCTGTGGCTGCTCAGACAGTTTTTGGGAATCCCTCCTGTTTGGGAAATGCCAAGCTCTCTGTAGATAAGGCTGCTGGACAGCACTGGGTCCCAGACAGGAAAGGCAGGACAACGCAGATCTCTTACCATGCAGACAACCACATATATGTTAGCTTCCCTTGGAAATTTCAAGAGACCTCATAATAACAGCATTTTTTAGGATTTGTTGTTCATTGTGGAAACTTCTGTGCTAAGCTTTTCAGCATATATTGCCCTGCATATAACAGGAAGGCAATAAATATAACATTAATTGATCTCATGATCTCCATTTAAATGTTCATGACTCATGACCTCACAGGGCAGCGCAGTCTCTCAGCAGCGGGGAGGCACAGACTTCTGACTCCTCATCTATAAAACCCGGGGCTGGTCTGAGGTCCCTTCCGGCACTAACGTTCTATGACTGCGACGAACTTCCATTAAGCCCTTCCCTGAACTATCACAACGTGAAAACAGGGATGTGTGGTTAGTACTCAACATATGCACTTAGCCGGAAAAAGGTGAAATCTTAAGTAAAAGGGACTCTGCAAATGGGTCTGCCATCCTGTGGTCAAGAATGCTCAGGCACAGGTGTCCACGCCAGCAGCGTGGGACCAAAGGTGAAGGTTACGACCCCAAGATGGTAGAGCAAAAACGAAAGCCAAAAGCTCGGTGTTTTCAGTTTTGTGTGGTTTAATACCTACGTTGGAGCCCTTTACAAACAAGACAAAGCAGGTATCCCGTGATTAAAACAAACTGGACAAGAGCTACCCAACCCAGAATTATAGACAAGACAGTGTATTCCCATCCCCGCCTGGATCCTGAGCTAAATATTGACTTTAACTCTGCGGTGGAGGCTCACGTCAGGGAATGAAGGAGCATTTTCATTTTCACATGTGCCCTTTGAGAAACAATGCTAATAAGATGGAGGCAACCGGCCTTTCTTCGATGGGGTGCACCTCTACCATCACACCCCAACACCGAACTGCTGAGAGCGCGCCAGCAACCCCGCCTGCTTCTGCCTCATTTCAAAACCTACCAAGGAGAGTCGCGCGCCAGACGGGTTCACTGCCTTGCCACCTTGAAGTACAACATGTGGGCTCTGTTAGACGGCAGGCTGAATGCAAGAAGGGTGACTTACTTATTATCAAATCCTGACGCACACACAAGCTCTTTCGGATAAACTCTGCTGTCCCTGGAAGTGAGGCAGACCCTGGCAGGTGGCACAGATGGCCACGCGAGGTCTCTGTCACCTGGGCGTCATCTTAGGGATGAGGTACCTGAAATCAGGAGGCTCCCTCGGCTGCTTCTCGTAGGTTTGTTTCAGAGAGAAGCCCTGAAACTTCTCCAACAGGGCAGAGACAGAATTTTTACTCTGAAGAAATAAATTAGCCCACATCCACTGGCTGCTGCTTAGATAAATGTCCTCTTCTCTTGTGGAAACCTCATCAACACAGCAGTGTTAATGCTAGTTTTTATGCTGGATAGCATAAACTGCACCGCGAGAAGCTGTCCTTCGATTCCTAGGTAACGCCTCCGTTCCTACGTGCTTCCTGGTGCACCGTTAGATCAGTGTGCGTGCAGAGCCGGGGGCGAAAAAGCACGTTGGCTTTCTCTCTCTCCTCAAGATATTAGAAAGGAAAGACTGAATTCTTCAGGATTTAGTTTATAAAGTATAAAGTATACTTGATGCTACATTAGGTAAAGTAGTCTGAAAGTCCTTTATAAAAAAGCCTGTAGGTTGGTGCCTGATTTAACGAACAAAGCTTAACAATTTCAGTAATTCTGAGTCTCTCTAGTAACTACAGCTGGACCCGGCAAACCCCGGCGCGCCCCTGGGGGGGACGTCCTGCGGCCCCTGGCTGACGATGGCAACGCTGTTGTGAGTTAGCCCTGCGCCAGCAAAGGCTCTTCCTCCTGTGACTTCTCCGCTTCATGAGACTAAGGATGACAACATGAGGGACTGACCCTTCTGCCAAGCAAGCAAGTGAACCGGAGGTGGGCCAAAGGAGCTTTGGAGCTGAAAGACACGTGGCTGTTATGGTCAGCGACTTAAAAAAAGTTTCCCAATAATAAAAACTGCAGCCAGCAAAGTATGAGAGGGCAAGGCCCTAACTCCCTAATACGTCACCTGCAGAAATGAAATTCAGTGACTCAGTGGGTTCCCGGCAAACCTTGGCACAGTTCTTCACGATCGTCATTATTATTTTTCAGTTGGGCCTCAGGGAAGCGGGCTTAATCCTAATCCCCACATCGTGACACACCCTTGCCTGTGGTTCCTGCGTGGGGCACGCTCACTTTCAGCTCATTATTTTCTTTCTAAAAATAATAGGATAAGCACCCAAGAAATCAAAACAAAAAACAAAAGCTAGGACCTCGACGACAACCTAGAGCTGATTTACCTCCCACCCTGATTTATTTCTGTTGTTTTAACTGTACAAAGAGTGCATCGCACTCAGTGGAATCTTCCAGGGCTTACTCATTTCTTCTGGTATTCCGTTTGCGAGGCCCCTCCAGCACTGCACACTGTCCCAGGACATTCACTTTAGCGAATTTAAATATCAACTTTAAATGGACTAATGTAATGTTAACTTGAATATTCCATGGTGTAGTTTATTTTCCCCAATTTAAGGGCATTTGGGTAGTTTCTAATCATTAAGGCGTTCTGACCAAATCCTCGTGATAAGCAACGGGCGTACTTATTTCATTTCCTCCCCCGCCCTATAAGGCGCTTCCATTTTTCTCTGAGAAAACTGAAACTCAGAGACATTAGGTCACTTGCCTGAGATCACAAAGTCCCTAAGAATGTGGTCTGCGTTTTGGAGCAAAGGAAGATGTAAGAATTATCTTCGTCATTAACGAATCTGCCATTGTCTGATACGAGATTGTCCTTCCACTCATGGGGGAAAAGACTCATTATTTTATTTTATACAATTGCATAATAAATAAGAGTTTCCTTGATCCCGTGAATCAGCAAGTAGGAAAAGTAAAGCTCTTCTCTGGTCCCTCAGAAGGATTTCTTAGTTGAATCCCAGGAACCCAATGTACAATGAATCATAGTTCACAACACACGTATGCGGATGCACACGTGCACACGTGAGCATGCTGCTGTGTGAGGATTTTCTTCATAATTTTAATGTAGAAACATGAGCCAATTTCATCCATTTCCCTGAGAGTGTCAGCTCCTGCCAGTTTGCAAAGGGTGCTGTTTCAGCGTGTCCAAGTTAAATTAGCATTCACTCTAAAGGCAAAAGAAATTCTCCTTAATCTAGTCTCTGCTTAGAACGCAAGAGATAAGGGAAGCCTTTAAAAATAGCACGTATCCAATAGCTGGGATGAAGAGATAACTAGGTTCTGTCATCAGATATCTGTTGTTCCCAAAGGCAGATAAAGTTAGTGTAGATAAAAGTGATTACCAGGGAAAGGAACCGGAGGGCTTGTGATTATAGTGTCCCGTTGGCCTGAGGGTGCCCAAATGGTTGCACCACTATACTGACGTAGAGATGATAAGTGGATTTTAAAATGTCTCGTTTTCTTTGCAAGTGAAAAATTAAATCCCTGAGCTCATTCAGGAGCCCCCGAAGAGCTGTAATCGCCATACCACAGTAGCCCTGGCCGAAGCGGTTCCACAGGCGCTAAGCCAGGGCAAAGTGATTACACACGAGGCTATTTTTGTCTCAGTTTTCTGGGAGGAATCAGAGAGAACACAACTTCTACTTATGATTTTGACTTGGGCGGGGTACTATTACACGTATGGAATGGTCCCGTTCATTTTGGAGTGGGCTGCGTGTGGCGATTGTGTGATCAGGGGCCCCAGGCGACTTGCTGATATCTAGGGGGAACACCACCAAAGAGGCTGGTACCCTCTGGGATGCCAGAGCGCCTTTGAAGAAAGGGGTGGTGGCAGCGACGTCACTCCAAGTCTATTTTGTTGCCACACCAAGGCAGATTTAGTCCTAGAACAATTTAGAAAACTACTCGTTATTCTCTTTAACTTTTCAAGTGTGAAATACACAACACTGAGTAGAGAAAACGTAAAATGTTATTTGTCCGTTTTTAAATAATAATAAAGGGACATCCTGGTAATCACCAGCTTAAGAAACAGAACCCATGGTCCCGCTGTTTCCCACGCAGTCAGAAAGAACCACCATTCTTAACTTAATGGCTTGGTGTTTCTTTGCTTGTCTTTATTGTTTCGCCACCTATACATACATAACATAGTACTTAGTTCTGTCTGTTTCTGGACTTTACATGAATGAAACTATAGGCAGGCAGGTACTACTACTTCCTTTACTGCTGTAACCTTACATTAGTGTGATTTGTTCATCTTGATATGTGTAGCTAGAGGTCATTCGTTTCCACTGATATGGAGTATTCCTGTCATAAGAATATGCCATATTTTTGTTAGCCGTTATACAGAGTCCAGCAGAAATAAGGCCTGCGTGAGTGTGGTTGGTACGGTAATAATGTGAGTGTAATAATTTATAGTTTTAATGTGAACATTTCACCTAAAATGTCATATGGTGTGCTTGAAAGTTATGTTACAGAATTACATGCTTATGATTTTGTAATGAAAAAGGGGTGTTATTTGTGCCAGACCTGTGTTTTATGGACATTCAGGTTTCACCTTAAAGAGCTTCGAGAGTTCACAGACACAATGCTGCTGCGGATGTGTCTGCGGGCTCATGGGTACAAGACTTTGTGTACCTGACAGGGAAGCTGCTGCGGGAAGGTGTGTGCAGGTACAATTTTACTAATAGTGCGAACTGTTTTCCAAAGTAATTGCATCAGTTTAGATTCCCACCGCAGGCATCGAGAGTGCCCGTGTTGCACCTTGTGGTCAATGCTTTGTATTGTCAGACTCCTAAATTTTTGGTGGGAAGTGTCCTTTTTTTCATACACATCAGCCATTCATGTTTCCTCTTCAGTGAAATGGCTGTTCATCTTTAGCCTGTTTTTCTATGAGTTCTCTGTCTTTTACTCATTGACTTATAAAAATACTTTATGTAGTCTGCAAATCCAACTCTTCTCAGCTATATATATGTTGCAAACTATTTCATCATTTTGTGACCTTTTACTCTCCTTCAGTATAGTTTGATAAACAATTCTTAACTTTAATGTGGCCAATACAATTTATCATTTTCCTTAAGATCTGCATCCTTTGTGACCTACTTAAATTTTTTTTCTTCCCCCACAATCAGAAAGATATTCCCATTTATTTTCTTCTAACTGATCATTTAAATGTCTGCTCTGTCACATTTTGTGGGACTGTTTTGGGACTCTAGTCTGCTCTGTTAGACCAAACCACACTGGTCATAATTACTAAAGCTGTATAATTAGTCTTGATTATCTGGTGAGCAAATTGGAATTCACTGTGAAAATATTTTTAGCTTCAAAAACAATATAAAAATAGGAACTAGAACTTACTTTGCTCTGGGTTGATGAACTAATCCTGGAATCTCTTTATTGGTTTTAAGTCTTGCATTTGAACTGGCACTTTTTTCCTGAAACACAGAAACATACACACATAAAAGACTAGATGAGGATCAGCAATTCAACAATAGCATGAATTCCCATCACAGAAATGCTCATGAGTTTGGGACCCTCCAACAGCTGGTTACTTCACAAGGACAAAAGTCCTCGCAAAGATGTTTCACAGCCCAGGTAGAACTACCGACAGGGAACGTTGTCATGAAGAGAGAAATTCGCTTTACAACAGCTACGACTCTGTTTAGAAAATGATGTGTAGTTACTATTTGGTTTTTAGGTCGAGTTACTATAAACAGTAACAATCAAAGAACAGAAGATTCTAGTGTCAGAAAGAGCAGAAGAGGACAATCGCAGGCCTTGCTGGCTTGCCCAGGTTAACTGCTTCAGTGTGTTTTATTTGTAAAAATCCACTGTCGTTACTGACACATCAATTTTGTACCAGGCTCCAGAAGTGACAGAGACAAGGGCATGACTAAAAGTAAAGACTCCCTGCCACCCACCACAAACACTCGGATTGCATTCAACTGAATTAATAATAGTCAGTACGAGCCTGTGTTTGAGGCACTTTTTGCTATTAGCCTAATCTGATTTCTTATTCCCAGTAAACCAGCCAGATGGAAAAGAAACATTCTTAAATCCTAAAACACCAATATATCAGTAACGTTAATACTATTACTCTGTATTTTTAGACAGTACTTTTTATTTTGATTAATTTAATTAATTTAATTATTTATTTGAGAGAGAGAGGGGAAGGAGAAGGACAGGGAGAGAACATCGATGTGAGAGAGAAACACTGATCGGTTGCCTCTTGAATGTGCCCCGATCAGGGACCAAACCCACAACCCAGGCATATGCCTTGACCTGGAATTGAACTGGCGACCTTTTCGCTTCGCGGGATGACACCCAGTCAACGGAGCCACACTAGCCAGGGCTACAGCTATTATTTAGGAAAAAAAAAAAAAATTCAAGGTGCTTTATTCTTTGCTCACAAAACATACCCCTAACATGAAAGAAAAGACTGTGCTAAACCAGTTTGAGAGAGGACTGCACACTCAAGGACCCAGGGGCGTGTCGATGACCCAAGCCCCAGGTGAAGGGGAGGAATCAAGTCCTGTGGGCCAACCTGCCCTTCTCACCACATGCAGAGCGATGGGCCCAGAGTGAGCTCTTCTGAGGTCGTAGTTCTCCTAGGACCACAAAAGCCACTTATGCCAATGAAATTCCAATGACTTACACATTCTGGTGGTGGTCTGCTATTGACCATCAGCTTATCCGTAGAACATCAGTATTCCAAAACACAGGGTAAGTTTGTGGTTTTCTGGGAAAAGAATCATTATGGTTCTTCTGCAGTCTATCTTACCTTTCTTTCCTCACACTGAAGAACGTTTTCATGAACATTTAAAAAGTATAAAATATATATTGTTTCCTCTGCTGATGTAGTCAGGGGACAGCAGATGAACTCCCTAGTTTCTTACAAAGCTGGTGGGAGGCCAATCGGAAAATGCTGATGCTCTAACCCCAGGCGGGCAGGTCCACACCCTCTCTTTGCCATGGGCGCTGCAGTCCCTGGCTTAGGGGCCCGGCACGGTGAATCCGTAATCTACCAAATCATAAATTTTAGGAAATTTATAGAGCTGTGCAATTAGCACCTCATTCCAGTTTTAGAAAAATTCTACCATCCCAAACCATTTCCTCAAATCCATTTGCAGTTATTCCCTGCTCTCGGCTGTAGCCCCAGGAAACCACAATCTGCTCTCTGTCTCTACATACAAATGTGCCTTTTCAAGATTCATATAAATGGAATACTACATAGCCTGGCATTTTTCACTTAGTATAACATTTTTGCGCTTTACCCGTATTACATTTACTTTAATTGCTAAATAACATTCCGATATATGGATATACCACATTTTTTTAATCCATCCCTCGGACTGTCACTAGTTTCTGGCTATTATGATTCACGCTGCTATGACATTTGCATACAAGTCTTTGTGAGGACATGTATTTTCATTTCTCTTGAGTAGATTCCTAGGAGTGGAACTGCAAAGTTATATGGTAAGTTGATAGTCAAATATTTAAGATGTCACCCAACTATTTTCCAAAGTGGCTGCACCATTTTATATTCCCACCAGTCGTGCAAACGGTTCCAGCTTCCCCACGTGCCTGCTGATGCTTGATTACTGCCATTCAAGAGGGTGTCTCCTTGTGGGCTTACTTTATTTTTAAAATGTCACCGACTTGGATTTGTCCTTATGTTTCCTTGTGTCCCTCAGAACACCTAGCATCTTGCGACATGGAGCGTTCATACGCCCACCGGCTAGCTGCATTTGCATCAATAAGTTAATTGGTTCTGTATTTGCTTATAGACATCACTTAATTTCTGCTCTGGGTGCTTATGGGGGAAGGGGAGGTTTAAAGAGATGTCTTTAAAAAAACAAACAAGCAAACAAACAAAACCAAGAAGGGCTGAAGGAAGGAGGAAGCCCTCCTGGAGCAGACACAGCAGAGGGGCCGTGCGCGGCCGCGTCTGGGCGCACAGGGTACAGAAACAGAGAATCGAACTGGGAGGCGATGGGCGAGGCGACTGAGGTATTGTCTCTCTTGGCAAGAAAAAAACTATCTTAAAGGTATTTGACACTTACAAACAAAGTACCTAAAATAAACTAGGACCGAGTAGGACTATATTGAAGCCCTTGCAAGGCCCTCAGCAGGCAGTTTGCAAAGCAGGTTTTTTTTTTCCTTAGAGGAGATGAAATTTGAGCATTTTCTTAATTATTTATATATTTATATAAGTATTAATGATACGTATTATTGTACCTCTTTTTAAAATTTTATCTTTCAATTACAGTTTGCATTCCACATTATCTTGTATGAGTTTCAGGTGTTCGGGTCAGCATAGCGGCCACAGGGAACAGTGTTTTTCAAGATCCATTCATACCAGTATCGGAATCATCCGGATGTGTGTTAAAATACAGATCCCCAGGCCGAGTGTGAGTCTCTGGGATCGAGGCCCAGGAATCTGCCCTTCAAACGAGAGGCCCATGTGACCTTTACTCAAAAGAAGTTTGAGAACTTCTATTTCAGAGGAAAGACACCTTCACGCTTAGCATCCCCCCTGTTGGTTTTCCACACAATGGTTCTCAAACTGAGCCCTGGGGTTCTGCAGAGCTGCCTTGGGGGCAACACAGAGAGAGGCCCAGCAGAGCAGAAGCCCCCTGAGCGCTTTCATACCGAGTGGCTCCATCAGTTGAAAAAAGGCCTCCATTTCTCCCAAGTGCTTGCAAACTAATGTCAGGCAGTGACAGGCTTCTTTAAACAGCGAATCAAACAACTTTCTTCTTTGCTTGGAATAAGTTTCTTTCGTTATGAGCAGAACACGCTTGTCAGTGTCGAGAGTAAACTTGTCTTTCCCTTCGTAGTTTCTCTGACGCTGGAGACAGTGAAACCATCTGTATTTATGCTGCTGCTCCCCAATCCCTGGGTGGCATCTCCCAAAGGGGAAGCCAGGATAGCAAGTGCAACTGACAGCTTCTTTAAAAAATTCCCTCTAACTTCACCTCCCTGTCACTCCTTTGTCTGCGGTGCTGCTCTGAGGGCACAGGCAGCGGCAAGCCTGGGAAGTTCCCTGCGTTGGTTCTGGGTTGGAAGTGTGGGAGAAACCTCATTTTCTTTTTCTGGGCCCAGCAGTATAAAGGAATCCCAGGGGCCAGATGGAGGCAGGAAGCTGGAGGCCTAGGCAAAAGAGGTGGGGGTGGGCATAATAGCTCCGGAGGCTGCTCAGGAGGGACCTGCACAGAGAACAGGCACAACAGCACTGAAGGGGAACGCTCAACGCATCCCGCCGTGCCCTGCACACAGGCTGTGGTTTTGCGCACATTTGGACCCCTGCATTTCAGGAAGTACGTGAGAACTAGAGAAGGTCATTTATTAACTGGAATTGAGAGGCTTAGGGGGCGCATGCCTATTTAAAAAATAGGAACATATTCAGCTATAAAATAAATGAGTCATCATTTCCGCTTTGAGGAGTAACCCACAGAATGAGGAAACAATCTCATTTGATGTTTTTCGTGTGATTTCCCAAATGGTATTAATGCGAGATAGGACACTACCGCCTTCCAATGTAAAAGAATTTTATCTTCTGTCTTTTGAATGATGACAGTGAGCTGGGCTATCCTCGCTCTGTGAGGATCCGGGGTCATTAGCAAATGGCAAGGCCCAAGCTCCCAGATGCAACTGTTGACTTGGGCCGACCAGTATCACTATAATTACATGAAGGCAACACTTCCCTTATAATTACCTGCCCAAGGAGATGACAGACTGCCTCTCTGCTTCCTGCTGTGTGACCCTGAGCAGCTTTCACAACCTCTGTGCCTCGGCTCCCGCGTTGGGGAAATGGGAAAAAAAGCACTACTTTCCCAGCTTGCCTGTTGCACGGGATCCGTAACAAATGACAGCTCAGTAGTAAGGGAGCTGCCCTGGGGACAGAGGAGAACTGAGAGTTGCCAAGAACGATCCTGGGGGCCCACTCCTTGCTAGGCACCTTGCTGGACTAGGAGAGAAAGAATAAGAAAAAAGAAGACAAAGAAGGCAAACAAAACAAAACCAAACAAAACCCCCAAGAGATTTTGAGAGAAACAACAAGGAAAAAAAAAAAAAAGAAAGAAGATAGACAACAAGGACAAAAAGACAAAAAAACTGCAAATGTCAGAGAAAAACTCAAATGCTAAATTATAAGATGAGAATTTGTAAGACTGGAGGTCAACCGGATGCACAGGGGAGATGGAGGAGGAAAAGGTAGAGCGGACACCGACGGGCCGAGTTTTGGCCTGGCTGGCGATTTTTCCTCCCTGGCTATAATGTATAAGGGACGGGCTGACGCTCCATCTGAAGGCATCTTTCCGGGCCAGCAATGCAAAGGTGACATGGCCATTAAGGCAGAAACGGTGCCGGGCGGAAGTGCGCTTTCCTCCAGGGGACAAAAGGAGCTTCGGGGCAGAGAGGCGGTGCGGATGCG